ATAGATGATTACAATCCTCGCCATGAGATCTACAAAGAATGCACCAGTTTGGTGAAATACAAAGGACGGATCTTCTCTTTTGTAGGTTGTCCATCGTGTTTACTTTACCATGCCACACTTCCCAACACAAAGCCATAACCTTGGGGGGACCGGCCTACACCAGACTTCTTTGAAAGGGAAACTCTGATGAGAGGGAGATTGGCAAAGGAACTAATATTGTACAAAAATTTCATGAACTTATACTCACCCAGTTTAACACTCGGATCAAAATATTCCGATCTGATAATGCAAAGGAATATTTTGAGAAGAGTCTTTCCTCCTACTTTGATACCTTAGGAGTTATTCATCAGAGTTCCTGTTCCTACACTCCTCAACAAAATGGAGTGGAGGAAATGAACAAACAAGTGGTTGAGGTTGCGAGGAGCCTCCTTTTTGCTTCCCATGTTCCTATTAAGTTTTAGAGTGATGTTGTCCTTACAGCTACATACTTGATAAACCGAATTCCTTCTTGGGTTCTGGGGTTTAAAACTCCCTTTAGCTTGCTTTTCCCAAATGAGGATCTCTTCTCTCTTCCTCTCAGGGTGTTTGGGTGCACTTGCTATGTTCATGTTCACCGTCATCAAAGACATAAGTTTGAGCCTAAAGCACACAAGTGTGTCTTTTTGTGATATGCCTCCACACAGAAGAGATACTGTTGTTTTGATCTGGTTCGTGGCACTCACTTTGTTTCTAGAGATATCACATTGCAGAGTTTGTTCCTTTTTTGGTACTTCTCCTGAAGGGGAGCATTTAGAGGAGTTGTTTTCTTTGTCACCATCTGTCTCTTCCAATTCCCATTGAATCTTCTATAGAGTCTCCTCCGATCGAGTCCTCTATTGGCTCTTCTTCTCATGTTCCTGCTCCCCATCCTCCTCCTGTTCATCCCTCCACATTTCCTTCCCATCCTACTATCCAAAAATGGTACTAAAGACAAAGACTCAAAAACATGCAAGTTGTTTCCACGCCTTCACCTGTCCTACAGCTTTCTTTCCCCTTCCTACTATTCCTTCATTGCCTTTATTTCCACATGTGACTCCCAGATCTGTCCCAAATGCCTTGTCCAAACCAGAATGGAGGGATGCTATTATGACTGAAGTAATTCTTTGCATAAGAACAATACCTAGGAAATTGTGGAATGCCTGAGGGAAAGGAATCAGCTGTAAGAGGGTGTTCACTATTAAGTATCATTCTGATGGTACTGTTGAGAGATATAAGGCCGGTTCAGTTGCTAAAGGGTATACTCAGATGTATGGTATTGACTACCTAGAAACTTTTGCCTCAGTCGCCAAGATGGCTTCAGTTAGAGTTTTGCTATCTTTAGCTACTGCTTTTGATTGGCCTCTTCATCAATTTGATGTAAAGAATGCTTTTTTGAATGGGGACCTACATGAAGAGGTCTATATGTCTTTAGCTCCATGGGCGTATGGGAAGGAGATGCAAGGAAAGGTTTATAAACTGAAGAAGTCCCTTTATGGCCTTAAGCAATCTTCTAGAGCCTAGTTTGACAGATTTCGAACTGCTCTTGTTGCTTTTGGGTACACACAGACTCAGTCGGATCATACCTTGTTTGTTAAGAGGAGAGATTCCTTAGTGACCCTTCTGATTGTCTATGTTGATGATATTGTGGTTACTGGCAATGATACTCAAGAAGTTGTTAGTCTCAAAAGTTTTCTTAACACTGAATTTGAAATTAAAGACTTTGGAGAACTTAGATATTTCTTGGGAATTGAAGTTGCTAGATCTAAGGATGGTATCTTCATTTCTCAATGAAAGTATGTTCTTGATCTCTTTGCAGAGACTGGCAAACTGGGTGCTCGACCTGCTTCTACTCATATAGACCTAAATCATAAGTTGCCAGCTACTGAATGTGAACTGTTGCCTGATAAGGGAGTATTCCAAAGATTGGTCGAGAAGTTATTATAACTTTGCATGACTCGGCCAAGTATTTCCTATGCAATTAATGTAATTAACCAGTTTATGCATTCTCCCAGAGATACACATTTAGCAGCTACTGAAAGGGTTCTGTGCTATCTAAAATGGACTCCAAGGAAAGATATCTTGTTTGATAAGCATGGACACATGAAGCTTGAAGCATACACTGATGTTGACTGGGCCGAATGTATTGATGATAGGAGGTCCACTTCAGGTTATTGTGCTATGATAGCAGGGAACATTATATCATGGAGTAAGCAGTCTGTAGTGGCAAAATCCGCAACTGAAGCAGAGTACAGGGCAATGGCACATGGAGTTTCTGAACTTTTGTGGTTGAGATCACTTTTAGAAGAATTGGGTATAGACTGTGAGAAACCAATGATGTTATATTGTGACAACCAGGCTACTATCAACATTGCACATAATCCAGTTCAACAAGACAGAATTAAACACATTGAAATTGACAGCATTTTATACAAGAGAGAGTTGCCTCAAGAGAAGTATGTCTACCATTTGTTGCTTCTCAAGAACAGTTGATTGATGTTTTAACAAAAGGTGTTCTTAAAGGAAAGATAGTTCACAATATAAGCAAGCTAGGCATGATGGATATCTATGCTCAGCTTGAGGGGGAGTGTAGAGGGACTAGGTCGAATGGGCCCTAGTCCATTAGTGCCATTCTTATTAGCTCCTTCTTGTTATGTTTTCTTATTGGGCCTTCTTTCTTTATGGGCCTTTAGCTTTTGTTTTGTTTTCTAAGTGTATTGCTGATGTGGATGCCTACTTAAGGGAAGTCTTGTAAATTATGTAACTTAAGTAAGTCTAATAAAATATGTGTGGAGGAAAGAGGAGATTATCGAACTCCTCATTTCTTTCTCCTTTCTTCTCCAATCTTCCTTCTTCTTCTTCTTGTCTTCCTCTTCTCCCTTACTTCTTTTTTGCTTTAATCTAAATTATTCTGCTAATTTTATTGGTCTAAATCACATCTCTTTGCAAGGCTCAACAATTTCATATCACAATCTCTTGTAATTTGTGGATCAACAACACTCAAAGAAGCTGGAATTTGGTCTTTTGATTTATCCCTAACTCCATGTGCCTTCAATTATCTTGGCTTCAGCTCCTTTTAAGAAGAGCCAATAGTTATAATACCAGCATTACTATATGGCACAGAGTGTTGGGCAATCAAAAAATAACATGTTCAAAAATGATTTTAACTGAGATAAGGATGTTGAAATGGATGAGTGGCAAGACTGAAGGACAGAATCAGAATTAGTGTATTGGATGGGACTTATTAAGACTAACCCAATTACTAACAAGATGAGTGAGAGTCAACTGAGGCCAATGACTCTCCTGCAACTTGTTACTTGTCACCTCATGCCTTGAGGTGCTTTGGATGTTTGCAACCTCAAGACAAAGGCCACCCTTGACAAAACCAAGATATAGAGATTCAAGGCTTGAGTCCTTGAGAAATACCAAGCTATAGAAGGCTTCAAAGTAGGAGCTGATGCTCCCACAATACATTCGTTACAATTTGTTTACAACATATTATTTCTCCCTTTCTCTTCTTTTTTATTTTCTTCCCTTTTCTGCAAACCACCATTAAAATAGCTTTCGGTTATTGTATGTCTTACCACCTACACAGCAAAACCATCTTGAAGTTCATGCCTGTATGATCCACAACCCAACCAAACAACCCATGGCCTTAGGACTAGGCCTTCTTTTTAGCCCATTTCTTCAGAAAAACTTTGGCTGTTGGGGGCCAAAAGCCTATGCTGTTGAGAGCATTTCTGTGAATGCCACGTTACCATGAGAGTGGGTAAATTAGTAATTGCCACCTATTTTATTTTGACCAAAATGAAAGACATAGTGTGAATAGGTGAATGTGCCCACCCTAAAAACGCTCCCACCAATGCAGGGTCTGGGGAGGGACAGATGTACGCAGCCTTACCCCTGCACATACAGGGAGGCTGTTTCCAAGATTTGAATATATATATATAAAATATTGTATACTTATATCCTACATGTAATATATGTACATATACGTATTATTTTATATTTAATTTATATTTTGATTTCAATTTTTTATTTCTTATTTATAAAAATGTTAAAAATTGGAATTTAAGGCCAAAAAGGGGGTTTTGGCAAAAATAGTGGGGCAAAGTGCAAGGTTACCCAAAATCAACATAAAGATCACTCTAATTGGACAACCAAGCACGAATATGGGCTCCGGAAGTTTGCATATACATATAGTGGTTAACCTATGACCAGGTAAACGGGTCAACAGTTCAACCACCCAAGCCGAATGGGTTTTGACCAAGTCAATGGTTTTTGGTCAAATCCTGAGTTTTAGGAAAATTGGTCCCAGAATCAGGTCCAGGTAACAGTTCAACCATCTGGGTCAATGGCGGGTTGAAAACACAGGTCACAATTCCGATTCCTTTGAATCTCTAACCCACCTAGTTACCAAAAAAACACTGACCTGTTTGACCTGTTCAGTGGATTACCAGATTTTTGTAATATTTTAATTTTTTTATTTTTACATTGTAATTATGAAAACACAAGGAGACCGGTTGACCTGAACAACTGAACTGCTGGAGGGAAAGTTCAGTCTCCATGTTGGGTTTTAAAACATAGCTTCATGGTGAATAAAAAAGAAGCATTACACAAACGAACACCAATAATAAATTGCTTGCCATCCATGTGAAAGACAAAGTTCATTAAAAAAATCCCCTCATTGTTGAAGGGCAATTGTCCATTGTCCAATAATAAATTGATTTTTTGATATGTTGATTGCTAAATGGTAAGTAGCACAAAAGTTGAGGTACAGTGAAACAGAACACCACAAACTGGTAAAAAACACAAGTATAACTAAGTTCTACCCAGAAACAGACCATCTAAGCTATCAAACAAATTAGACCATTGTAGCTTTCTCCACTGGGGCAAAGGGAAAAGAAGAAGAAGAATGGAGATCATAAACAACCCTTGCAAGAAACTGCATTACCACAACAAACTAACTGGAAATAAGAACTCACCTGTCCATAAAGTCCCCAACCAAAAGTAAGTAGTGCTCCAGCATCTGTTGATGCATTAAATGACAAAAGCGAAGACACACTCAGTATGATCAACAGCTCAAAGGATAAAAACAAATCAGGCATGCAATAAAATGGTCATTGAATCAAATCCAATGCTATCTCAGTTAAAAGCAGTTCCTTTTGACTCCAGTAACAATTCAATGTCCCAGCAAGTGATGATACAGATATAAGTAACTGAAGCATATCTATATCACAAAACCCATGACTAATGCTTCAAATAAAGAACCAAAGTACTAAATTACACTTTAACAAGCTAGATATCAAGCCATCAAAATGCAGACCTGTTATTACAGCACTATGACGACCTCCGCAGGCAATGGCTTTCACATAATTTCCAGGAACTTTACAAACCTGCCCCTCCAAACTCATGCTTCCCTGAGGAACTGCTGAAGATTTGTCCTTTCCATATGCAGAAGGTTCAAGGCAAGGTACAGGATGAGAAGAAGAGACCATGCGGATACGAGAACCCAACCCTAGCTGTCCTTCACCTCCATAGCCCCAACCCCACACCTGTCCTATATCTGAAACTTTGGGGAAAATTGGATCCATCAGGTGTCTTGCCTAACATAATATATCTTCCATAGCTTCGTACTTCTTAGAACCTACAAAACTATATATTGTAACTGTAAAACAGAGACACCTGCACCGTTACAGCTATAGCTTTCAAGTGGTAGTAGCAACTTATGCGAAAATGGATTTACCTGACAATGCTAAAGTGTGACGCCCACCTGCAGCAACAGTTGTAATCCTCACCCCTGGACTTAAAGTGACCAGACATGGCAAAGCTGAAAGGGTTTCATCACCAGATGTTGAGCTTTCTGGTGCTTGTTTAGATGATGATATTCTTCTTCACTTTGTACCTTCCTCACCACTTCCTCTACTGTCAAAACCAGAAACTGTTCCACTAGCTGATCTTGAACCATGAGATCTTGGGCTGACTATAAGAGTTATTTTTCATTGCATTAGTCCACAACAAATCAAAAAGCAGCTTTTGGTTGTCACCCATAAGAAACAGGTAAATTGGAACCACCTTGTTCGGTCAATAACGAACTCTGCCTTTCAAGTACATCCTTTTCTATGCTTCCACCAATAGCTGCATCTCCAATGACCTTCCCTGAGGGAACACACTCTTTCCAGCCCCATGTATAGATTTCTCCCTTCTCTGCATTTCAAGAAATTAACTTACTTATGCCACAGCTCTAGGCTGCATGAATAACCAGTAGCATGAGAGAATATAAACTGAAATGTATATGCTAGCAAGGAATGAAAACTAGAGGTATTTCCTTCCAATAATTCTTCTAACATTACGTTTCTATATTAGTATATCACGAATAACTGGAGTTAGCACCTGTAACTGCAACACAATGGGCCCAACCTGCTGCAGCCTTCACTATTGAAGCTTCTGTTGGAAGAGGAAATGGCTCTGGAGTTTCCTTTCAAAAATTAAATGGAGGGAGACGAAGGTTCAGTTTAAAGCAAAAAAAAAAAAAGGAAGAAAGTTGTGTAATGAGAGTATTATCAAGCAACGCACTAACCCCATGCTTCCCCGAAGTTACATAGCTTTGGCCAGGATCGTCTGCTGAACCCCAGGTAATAAGCTTTCCAGATTCTGTTGAAGACTGAAGTGTAAGTGCATGCGCAACTTAACGGAGAAGCATTAACACATTGAGAGGGGAGTACGGACTCAAACACTTCTTCGAGAAAACAGATTATAAAAGAAATTAAATTCATGCAAAATACAAATCAATAATGTAGCGGCTTGTATACAAAATAAAGAATGAACCAAATAAGCCAAATAAGTTATTTCAGTGCAGGGCAACGAGTAATCTAGGAACTCTGACAGTTATGGTAATCTAACAAAATTCACTAAAACAGTAAAACTTGAAGAACTGCAACAAAGTATACTTGAAACCCGCGGTTATTACACACAAAGACAAGCAACCGAAGGAGAACTAACTCAACGGATCTTCAGAACCGCGGAATATTCTCAAAATTGAGATCTTCAAAGTTCAAACTAAACTGATAGTTTGTCGAGAAAAAGTAGAAAATGGAGAGCAGTAATTGAAATAACAACAGAAAGACGAAAAAAAATCTCCAAATCCGAGCAAACAATCGAGAAGTGATAAACGGTTCGTAACCAGTAACTTCTACAATAAATATTCCCCAAAACAATTGAACCAAAGAAAACAATTCCCCTCAGTACTTGAGGGTTACATTTACTCGAATCAATAGCATTTTTCATTTCAATGCCGAAAAGACGAATCTATCTAATGGAGATGAATCGAGGATCGAAGAAACCACCAGAAATAGCCATGGCAAATCCACATCCACCACCACAAACATCTTTCCAAGAATCTCCAACGCCGATTGAGACCGGAAGCCGAACAACAAGCGGCGAAAGAAGAGGCGAGAGCTGTGGCGAGGCTCCGGGAAGATAACCCCACATGAACACTAAAGCTTCTTTCGTTTTCTCAGTTTTAACTGCTTCACCTCCTCCACTATCGCCATTCATGGCGGTAATAATACAACAAGCTGTATCTCCGTGTCTATCTCCCGCCCCGTTATTCTTGTCTTTTCTCTTTTTCTTTGTTCTTTGTTCCTTTACTTCTTCCTGTTTTTTTTTCTATTTTTCTATTATTTTCCCTATCTTGCTTCCTCGCTTCAGAGCTTGGATGGACTCTTCTTCTGTATCTGCTGGACTCTGCGCAATTGTGCCCAGAATAGAAAGTGCCCTAATTTGCTTCACAGGATAGGGGATGGCCGGATGGGACGTATCATTTTCAAGCGAATGGAGGTGCCAAGTCGGATGACGACGTGGAGTAGGTGGACACGTGGCTACTTCGAGGCCAGTAGATGCGTTGTCCATTCCTAGCCAGGAGTTTCCCAGAAGTTTCTGGAGGCCGGGGCTTTCTCCTCTTCTCTCTTTATAAAAGTTTGGGATAACTTGTAAAAAAAGCCATCCAAAGTCGACTCTGAGAGGCCACGCGCCGGCCCATGAGGTGGTACTGGCTACCGTGCCTACCTTTGGACCCTACTTTGTTTCACCTAATCATTACGAAAGCTCACGTTTCAGCGTCCTGTTTGCCTATCGTGTAAATATTTCTTTTTGGCAGAATTTAAGGCAAATGCTAGTATGTGAAAAACACTGCAGATGCAATGCCACGACAATGAATTGTAACCACATAAAATTCCTGTAATGGAATGTGTGGTCCCACTCGATGACCTCACCTATCATTTCGAGAGGCTGAGATTTTTGAATACCCTATTATTTTCACACGTTAGTATAACCCATTTTATAGTATTTAATAGAATTTTAAAAGAAAATTATTTAACACTCTATTTTCTCTAATAATAATTGTTTAGACTTAGTTTAGAAGGATTATAAACAGATATATAGATTGTAAAATTTTGTATTTTATATTATTTTGTATATATTTTTACTATATATTTATATTTATATTCCTTCCAAACTGAATCCAAATACAATGTGATGCAGCGCGATCCAGGCACTCCTAGCTGACGACTGGCTATTTCCTTGTCGGCAACACGCGGCACCTGAGAAGATAAAAAGAAGGATTCCCGGGGACTTGCCCGGTGGGAATACTCCGATGCTTAAGTTAGTACTGTGTATGGGGAGTAAAGAGAGAAAACGAGAGCTAAGAGTGGATGTCGCACTTTATCACTATATTTTAGAGGTTAGAGGTCTCTAGAGCCTTTCTCCTTTGCCCTGAGGGCTTTTATAGGAGCGCTCTTGCGAGATCGGGCATAACCGCCACTGGGTCCCTGCCACAGCCGTTACCTGTCAGGACTGAACAGGTGGCCGTTGGGACGTACTCCTTACTCGGACGAGTGACACATCCCCAGAGTGATAGGCACACCTCCGCCTACTGAGAGGCGTAGGCGCAGACTGTCGAAAGGACAGGGACTGCGCCGTCAGTTAGGGACGTGGCCCAGTCTGACGGGTACGGCTTATTAAATAGAAGCTTCCTGAGGAATGCTCGTGCGTCCCACGTGAGCTACTTTGCAACGAGTTTCGAATACTTCAGAAATACCCTTGGTAGAATTGGTCCTCGGATGACTTGCCTCGTTCGGGAGCTCAGGCGAGCTGGCTTTCTTAGCTCGCAAGTTAAAGTTTTCCTCGGAATATCCCTTGAGGTAGCTCGGGGGATCCGTAGCCCGCATTGTGGCGAGCCCCTCCTTTACCTCGCTACCATGTAGCGAGCTGCTTTATGGGCCCATCACTTAGCCGTACTGGACCACGGTACCGAGCTGTCGCTTACGCTGAGTTAGCGTCCACGTGTCGTCGTTTCATGGGTCGGGTCAAATTATCCTTCATCAATTGCCCCCACTCCTCGGGCTAAGAGTGCCACCTTAGCGCAGGGAGTTTATGAAGCTCAATGGACTGATTTGACCGAAATTCAAACTTGATTGACTGTCTTCAATAAATGCATTTGCGGGAATCAAGAGATTTTCTGATTTCTCTGACTTTTCGGATTCCGAAAACGTGCTGAGGTGGCCTTTAACTCCGAATGTCGTGCGTCTGCGACTACCTTAATCGTGGAAGACATGCCGCCAATCGCCTTCGGTTTTCAGGAGGCATGCGGTCAAGGCGCCCGCGGACCGTTGGATCTGCTTTAATCCAGGCTATCGGTTTGAGAGGGCGAGGGCTATAAATGGGGGCCCTCATCGGCCCTATCTCCGTCCACGCCATCTTGCTTTGGGCTCTGAGGTCGCGTACTTCACTTAGTCTACTCGAGTTTCTCAATCCGCTCCGTTCCGTTTACTCTAGTGAGTCCCAATCGCCGTCAGCCATGTCTGGGTACCCACGCCATACTTACCACAGGGGCGATAGCCAAGATGACGATGCTCCCTCGAGCTCGGGGAGAGCCAGGGAGGCCTCTGGCGACATGGCGTCCACTTCTAGGGGGAGGGAGCTTGATACCTTTGGCCCTTCCTTAATGACAGCGGAGAGACTCAGGTCTCTGATCCGCTACTTTCGCCTTCCTGGGGACCTGGTTTACAGCTTCCCTATTGGCAATTTTCCTTGGGAGCAAGGTCTCAATGACAGAGTGATCTTCCAGGAACAGCTTGAGGCTGGTCTGCGTCTTCCCCTGCACCCCTTGATAGTGGAGGTGCTGAACCACTTCAACATCACTATTGACCAGCTTCACCCCAACGCTGTTCGAAACATGGTTGGGACTATATCCCTATGCCACGAGTGCTGCCTCCCTTTGGACCTTGACATTTTCGCCTCTATCCTTTGTATAAAGAATGTTGCTCCTGGGGTTCCCCCGGAGAGGCGCTTTTACTACCTCTCTCCCCGTCGCGGCTACAAGCTCTTGTACGAGCTACCGAATAAGATCCCCGCCTGGAAGCGGGACTACTTTGTGGTCCATAACCCCGAGGGGTGGCCCTTTCCCACGGCTTGGAGGGGCGCCATCTAGGACCCCGGTGCCGAGTTGACCCCTAAGATTTGGAAAACGATGCTATCCTGGGCGTCGATAGGCTTCCTTTGCTCAGACTACTTGGCCGAGGAGAAGCTCGTGCAGGCAGGCTTGAGCCCGGGTAGGTCGGCCTTTTAGGTCGCGTAGTGTCTTGTGACTTGTGTACACATGCATTTTGTTTCCTGTTGGACTAATATCTTGTGGTCTTTTGGCAGCCATCATGTCTAGCGTCGATTCGCGCCGCCTTCTCTCGGGTAGCCAGAGACGCTAGGTGAAGGGGATGCGCCCCGACCGAACCCCTCCTTCAGGAAGCACTGAGTTCGGGTCTGCCGAGTCGGTCCTGCCCTCTCCTCTGCCCGAGGTTCCGATGCCCCCTCCTGAGGGGACTAGTGGGGTCAACCCTGGGGGGAGCGAGCCCTCTCTGCCAGGGGAGGCCCCCTGTAACCCCCTTCAACCCCATCCTTACCCCCGGTTCCCAGTGGGAAACTGGGAAGGGGTAAACGATTACCTAGTAGCTCGCCGGAGGAGTCAGAAGGCAATCAGTAATGATGAGATCGCTCAGTGGGGAAACATGGAGCCTGGGGATCTCTCTGCGTTCGCCTCCGCCCACTGCATGGTGGTAAGTGGCCCTTTTCCCTTTTTCCCTTTTTCTTCGTTGTTTTCTGATCTTCTTTTTTCGTTGATAGGTAAATTCCACCATCCATGCCATGGATCTCCAGACGCGCATCCACCGCGTCGACGCCCTCGACCAACGTACTGCCAATTAGAAGCTCTAGGTCGAGCTCGATCGGATCCGGGGCGAGCTCCATCACACTCGCAAGGGGAGCGAGTCTCAGGAGCTACTCGTCCATGACCAGGAGGCTCAAATAGCTTGGCTTACCGAAGAGAGCGCACGCTATAGGGAGGAGGAGTCGAGGATGGCGGGGGAGAGGGAGCTCCTCAGGCAACAGGTGCGGGAGTTGGAGTCCACTCTTCTAAATCGGACCCGAAACTTCGATCAGATGGTGGAGGCTGAGCGAGAGAAAGTGGTCTAGGATTTCAAAGACTCCTAGGAATTTCATGACCCCCAGGCGGAGTATGGTTCGGGTTCGTACCGCTCAGGGTTCAAGCTCTGTCGGTAGCTGGTTCGGAAGAAGTTCTCCGAGCTCAACCTCGACGGCATTACTGTGAAGGGTCTGTCCCCTGAGACAGCAGACCAGGCGGATGAAGAGGAGCCTGACTC